TTTGAGAGTGTTTGATTCGGGGTCCTTTCTTTATGTCCATTCTTTCCTTTTATATTCCCATGATGATTTTTTCGTGACAAACCGCTTTGAAATTGCTTGATTGCTTTATAACTATTCACTTTCTTCATGGTGGCTAACTTGTCGTGGAATTGCCATAACTGCTGCCATTACCCTTTGTCGTTCAATCGCCTTCAAATGGGCTCATTGAATCGTGAAATGCGATAAGTCTGCTCGATAACTGTTTCAATAACTGCTATTCTGAACAACTATAATATCTGATGTTTGTTAAGATTCTGGGCGACTCGAAGGTTTGGGCAAGAACGAGATCATCGCTCTGCGCTCTGGGCGACCGTATTCGCTCAGATTCTGGACGTCTTTCAAGGTTGGGCGATGATGTTACTGTGTTCGTGAGTTTCCTCTACATTCACCAATAATCTTATTTGGGCCTTTATCCTGAACTCTCCAATTGAACCTTACTCTTTGAGCTATTTAATTCGAACTACATTTTTAGTGTGTCAACACTACTCGACTAGTTCAAGGGCAAAATCAATTTTAACTCTATGAATGCTACTCCATTCTGATTCTAGTAGAACTCGATTTTGATTCGACTATAAAATTACTTTTACCTCAAGATTTTTTTATGGTAAGGATCGAATGAGAAAAATCTTATAACTATTGACACCAAAAATGTAATTTTACCCACTATATTCCAATTCCAAACACTGGCTTTTTGCCGGTGAACGTTGTAAGAACAGCCAAATCAGACACAGTTGCAGAGGTTAGAATCAATTTTTTTCCCAACCTTCGTCTTCGTCAATTTATTAATCTTTTTCATATCCACGAACATCGAGAAAATCTGTTGGTATCAATTTTCATATATAAATACCCAAAATGGGAATTCTTGTGCAAAATTTCAATGTAGTGCTCCCTTATTTTGCTGTTAATGAAAATCCCCGTTCATCAGATTTTACCCTTCACCAGGGACGCTTCATTTCTCGTCGAAATCACTGCTTCAAATTCAAAAGAACCCTAGTCATGGCTCAAAACCCAGGTTAAGGAATTTCTTTAAATCCCCATTCTATGCATTCATTTTATGTTTATATGTGGAAATCCTCATTTTTACTGGGTATTCTTTTCCATCTTAATGAAGGAAAATGATGATGGAAGTAGCTCAAAGAGTTTGACTTCAGTATGCATTTGTACTGGATGTCGTACTTGAACAGTAGGGGTTTGATTGAAATTGTGGGTTTTATGCCGCACACTGAATTGTGGACGTATCCATTGTGTCTAAATTCATACATGTTGGATTATGCTAGAATCAAGGTTAATGGGGTTTTTATTTTTATTTTTTATCTAATATAATTGCTCAAAAGTCTGATGTCAATAACGAACAGCTAAGGAAGTATCAAATACTCGGGACAACTGGTTGGTTAAGTGTTAGTAATGCATTTGTGAATTAAGAAACTTGATAGTACACTGGTTACAAATAATTTTTTTCGTTGATCAGTGATATTGAGACTAGAAGTATATTTTGATGAGATTGGGCTAATAATTAGGTACTAAGCTGCAGTTTCGTGCCACTTTAAGGTTGGTGTACTTGACTACTTGTGATTCTGTATATTAAGACCTTGTTTGTCCTCATTTTTTTCAAAATACATTTTTCAGTCTCTTATTTTCAACTACACATTCTTTAATAAAATAATATTATACATAATCCAAAAACTTTTCCTTCATTTGTAACCACACATTCTCCGTCAACTACTATTCCAAAATGCATTCTACATAAAAAAGTGTGGCTCAAAGAGGTCCTAAGTAATAAGTTTAAGATGATCTCCCCTGCAAAGAAATTGCAAGAGGGGACTGGTTCATTGTGTATAGTTTCTTTGATAAGGGTGATCCATGAGTACTGGACGAGTGATCTTGTGTATTTTTGTCAATGCACCATATTTGTGCTCTTGTTGGTTAAGAAAATTCTTATATGGACCAATCATGAGTTGAAAAGGTTATGTTTAAGACTCCAATGCGATATACATGATAGAGAAAAAAATTGTTCTCCTAAAAAGGTTACAGAGGTACAAAACTGTCCCTTTTGCCGCTAAGCCATCTCTTCTTTTCATGGTAGCAAACACAGTATCTCTATATGTATACTTTATATATCACAAATTAATAATTTATTTAGAGCTTATTTGGGAGGAATTAAAATCCAATTAAAATAAAAAATATAGTCGTTATTTGGTCCCACTCGTCTAATAAAAGTCAACAATAATGGCTAGTTTTTCAATTTTAATCGGATTTTAATTTCTACCAAACAAGCTATTAGTTATAATGAGAGCCATCGAGACAGAGAAATTTTCTTATCAATAATCAGGTACTCCTAAACTGGCACTAGCATCGGTGCCCACAATTTAGTTCCTCATTACAAAAGAATTATCTCTGAGCATTTTAGTTTGTCTTCATAAAATTTGGAAACTATACCTATCTTGAGGTTGATTGATCTCGATCTGCATGGTGGATTCTTTTTGCAAAAGTTCTGAACTCGTTTAGACGGATTACATAATTAGAGGACCTATCTCCTCTATCCCTACTCCTTACGTGGATGAAAGATAAAAAATGGTCTAGGGAGTGGCTTGGTCATAATTGTTGGACTTGCTTAGATCTTGAAACCTTTTTTTTGGTCACTAATGTGTATATTCCTT